CTAGTTTCGTGAAATTGCAATAGATGGAATGTATTCTAAATTTACTTGCAAGCATACTTAAATGAAGGGTTGGGAGAAACGATTTATCCAAGCCAATGTTTCAGATTTGTAGTCAAGCAACGAAGTGGCTTTTAACTTTTCAGTGATGGACGCCTATCTACAAGCCCAGGCGATGTTGCAGGCGGCTCTTCCATCCGACTATGGCTGTCTTAATCAGGTTCCTCAACCGTCTGGCTATGGCACAAGTGTCGGTAATACTACTGCTCTAGCTGTATACAACCTTCCTCACACCACTGACGAAGCTTATATTCTTGGCCTTTTCCCTCTAGCTACAAAGGTGAATATCGTTTTGAGCCAGTCGGAGCCTAGGCGGCCCCGGGGGTAAGTGCGCTTTCTTTACACAATAACTCATTTACACATTTCATCATTCACACATTTTCATAGTTTAGTTAGGCTGATATCCTTAGGTTCGCTGTACCAGGCTCTGGTAAGACGAGACCCACATGTGACCACCCTTAGGCGTGGACTTCCGTTTTAGATATTTCTTATTGGCTTCCTTTGTCACTAAGTACAATGACTGACACAATCTTTTTATTTTGCTTTTCTATCGCTCTGGCCGGCGCAGGTCTGTTTGTAAACCACAGTTTTGACGAGCCGGGTTCTTGTCTGTCTAACTGTGCATTCGCCATGCAGCGTTTCTTCAAGTGTCCTTTTGCAGAAAGAAGATTCGTCACGTCGAATGCCATCGGCGATTTCGAGGCCTAGGGATTGAATGATCTTTTCACCGAATGATGCTTTCTCACTTCCTCGTTAACCTTCTCATGACTTCAGTTCTTATTAACAAACTAAAATCTAACATATCTCTATTCAAACGCTATCTATTCTCAGATAGTGTTTTACTTAGAAATAGCCTGAGTGATGTAAATCATTTTGGACTCAAATTATTGCAAACGTTTCGCATTTTGTAATTCAGAATGTGCATTTTGCAATTCAACTCACCGCACGATTGCCAAACCGTGTTTGATGAAATAAGTCGCGGAAGAGAGATCGATGGCAGGCAACTACGCGTTGAAATTAGCACAAGTGAGTTGGCTCTCTTTTCCAGCTATTTGACTTCGTTTACCTATCTAGCATTAAATATTTCTATCTTTAGATCCTCGTTATCAAGTATCCGACACTTCACATGGTACTGATACTACCGGGAACTACCGTGGCCATCAAGCTATCGGAGGTCCTGAAAGAATCAGCTCTGGTTGTTCGCTTACTGTTTACAATCTTCCTTGGCAAGCAAATGAACGAGACGTCCTTGCTGAGTTTCCTAATGCAATAAAGGCAAATATGCTGCTTAATGAGCAAGGACAATCGAAGGGGTGCGTATCTATATTTGTCTATGAGCCATAGCGTATCGCTTATAGTTTTCCTATGGGTTTATTTTCGTTTCTAAATATTTGCATGTCATTTGGTAGGTGATTTAGGGTAATTTTGTTTTTCCTTTGATGTTTTTGCCTAGAGACATTTGAAAATCGTTTTCTTTTGAGTATTAGAACTATTTCTCTATGTTATACTATTTCATAAGCTTAACACTAATCTGAATTCATTGGATTGTAGTACATTTGATTTATTTATCTGAATGTTTTCTATTCTATCCTACTTAACAATAAATAATTTTAGGCTAACCTTTTTTTCTCA